GATCTAAGCTATGTTTTCTAGCCTGCTCAGACAGCTGTGGTTGCCAGTGGCTCTTCTAAAACTATATTACTGAAATAAATCAGGCCTGAGTGGACACTGCTTTTAATGGTACCAGGCAGAGTGGGCAAAAACCTCAGGTTGCTTTTTTGAAGTCTGGGGCAAAGCCCTGGGTAAATGCTCTTGTCTGTTGGTTTTGTATGGCCCCTGCATCATGTGGGTCAGGCTCCTCATCCCAGAAAGAGATGTGGTACAGTGCAGGAAGTGGAAGACCATCAATTATCTACTTTCTTCCTGAATATTTTCCTATAACAGGTGTATTTGCTATGGATATATCATTGCACTTTTAAAAGCTGCATAGCCACTGCACTTCTGCCTTTTAGCTAGAAAAGTATTGTGTATTCTGCAAGGAAAAATTATGTGTTAGAGGTAACAGGTAATTATTTCTAAGTGTTGAATGCAGTTCAGATGATGGTCAATGTATTTTTGTGTGGTTTGTCCCAGAAATGTCCAGGAAAATAATCTACTGCCCCTGTAGTGATGTAGTACTTCTGAGGGATGCTAGAATAACCAGACTGGGACCCGTACTTTTATTTATCCACCAAACAGATATAGGCAGTGGCATTGAAAGCTTTCCTTCACATCTCTGCCTTGACTGTTGGGTAGCTGATTAATATTCTTGGGTTTTCTGATCTTGTAAGGAAAGGTGAGGGAAAGGTGCTTATGCTAGTGATTTTTCGTAGCAGATTTTAAAAGAGAAGTAGCCTGAGTCAGGTCAATGGAGGTAAATAAGGTATGGTAGAGCATAAGCAGCTGGAAAATGGCAACAGCATGCTCAGAAAAAGGCAAAAGGCTAGAGATGCAAGTACTGGCTGCTTCACTTTTTGTTGTCAAACATTAATTCTGACTGGGTTGGAGTATTACAATCAGTAGACCAGTTTCTAATTTCATGCTCATATTCGTGCAGACCTCATGAACTTCAGCGGAGTTGTACACCCATCACAGCAAGAAATTAATTAAAACCTGGAGTTTGAACTGGAAATACTATCCTGTAGAATGATTAATGGCTTAATTTTTAATTTTGAGTTCATAAATAGCTACATGTTTCATAAAATGGCTGTAAAGTGATTAGTGCACGTTGTCCATCTGTTTTTTAACCTGATTTCTTAATAAAATGAGACTGATGCAATCACACTGTCTCTGTCATTCTCCCTTCTAATGGCTTTTGAACTTGGTGGCACATTTCACTGAAAGGTAGAAGTCTTGAAGCATTTTAATCATTAGGGCATTCATGAATGTAGAAAGCTCGGTAAAGGAAAATGGTTGTATAACTCCTTCTACTGAGAGGCACATCTAAAAGATACTAGAGAATCCATGTGAATGTGGAGCCTCACAACGCAATTCTATACCCAAGAGATCTGTAGGACATCTGCCTCCTTGCTCTTTACTTGAGAGGCATATAAATAAGGGAGGGAGCTCAGATGGATGCAAAGCATTTAAGAACTTTCTCATCAGAGGAGATAAAGATCAATAGTATGGGGAGCGGTCTCTGACTCTATGAAGGTCAAACCACCTTGTGAGGTAAGACACTCAAAGGCAATTAAAGTGTGCTGTTTAGTTTGATCTGGGTTTTACACTGGTGCTGTCCTGCAGCATGGTTGTGAAAGGCAGGCATTTGGCGAGGGTGTGAAAGCAGGGAGAGTACTAAAGTTGCCTGCAGTTGTCAGTGTGGCTGTGCAGGAGGAAATGGAGGTTTTGTGGTGAAAGGTCAAAGTTGTGAAAGGTGCTTTAGGAAAAGAAGGGAGGAAAAAAAAAAAAGATTTTACCAGCAGGTCTTTGAATATGCACATGATATGGGTATACTTTAAAAAAGAAAAAAATGAATAGTGCTGAGATTTGCTGTCTTAGCCTAGGACAGATGTTTACTTCCTAGACACTTCACTTAGCTGATCTTACTATATGTGTCAGCTACAGAAGTGTTGCTTCTCATCATTTCAGCAAATACTGATTTCTCCATCCTCTCCCCAGCCTGACCGTGGGATTCAACAAAACAGCTGCTGACCACCCCTTGCCTTTTGGCCTGTGTCTGAATTGCCTGGCTGCCCTACATGGGCAAGAATGCAGAAAAGTAAAGAATTCCTGGGTTAATCTTAACTTCTAGTTATCTTAAAAGTCAAATACAATTCAGTGAGGGATTGGCAAAAAGGAGACTGGCAGGTTCTGTATCCAGCATTGAAAATGGAAGGATCAGACAGCAAGACTAACCCATTTTTTAGGTGATCCCTATCCATTTCAAGGGGAAGTGCAAGTAAACCAACTGTGTCTTATGGAGCAATTGGGCAAACACTGTCACGGAAAGATGCCGGAGAGGAACCAACTGTGCATTGACTGCAGTTCTCTTTGCCCTGCAGCAGTGCTGGTAAGACTTGTGGTCCCCAGACACACGAGGCGCACAGCTCTGGAGTCCCGCCAGAGCGAGACGGTGCCCAGTGTGTGGGGCAGGGCACCAGCACAAGAGCGATAAATCCTGTTTTCCACACGTCACAAAGCTGGAGAAGCAACATGTTGCAATGTCTCCAGATTTCTGTCTGGTAAAGAGGGATGTGTCCTTTTGGGTCTGTAATACAGCAATGTCCTTAATATAAGGGACCAGAGTGCTGCAGACTTTGCCCAAAGCAGAGAGGCCGTGGAAGCGGAGCCAAAATCTTTTGGAGGATAATGCTTGACCTTTCTATTTTCCCTTGTGCCATTTGTAAGCACTTTGGGCCCTTGTCCGGAAGGGGCCGAGCTGTGCACTGAAAGGCAGTGAGTACTGGTCTAATGACTGCGATAGATACCGTCATCAGCAACGCTGCTTGCGCCTGGCTGTACAGAAGGCAAGTAGGGATTCGAGAAATAGTTGGGGGGTGGGTAGGGAAATTGTTCTTTTCTGGTCTGTTTGAACTGTTTTTTTGAGAGAAACCAGGTTAAGAGAATGACTCCGATTTTAGAAGTGAAGAACATGGTGTTTAGTGTTTGGCAGTAATTAATGCAATGACTTGAAGCACATGCCAGTGGAAAAGACAAATGAGCCCGTTGCTGTGTTAGGGAGTCAAGCACCAAATACCATGGCTGCCTCCCGTACGGTACGTGTGAACGCTGGTGTGCTGTTTTGGCTGTAGTGAGGCAACTGTACTCTGCAGCCTTTGGGGGGCGGAGAGGAAAGAGGGCTCCATTTGTTTCTTTTCAAACTTAAGTCTCTGCTTTCCAAGAGCTGTTCTTAAAGTAATTTATTAGTGGAAGAAAAGTTTCTTCCATTCTTACAGGAAAGCATTGGGAGAATTTAGATTGTTCCTCATAAGCTTCAATATCAGCTTATTCAACTTGCTTTCCTTTGCTTTCTGTGGTAGGCACAATACTGGTTATATTGAAACAAACTTTTTTCTTCTGTAATGTGCTTCTGAAGTGGGTAGATTACTAATGATGCAAATAGATTTTAATTGTGCAAAAGCTAGATACTCTGTGCCTTGAAAGGCAGTACCTGACCTGTAGAAGAGACAGTAGAAAACAAGCTTTCACAAGTAAAATTGCTGTTGAGTTTTATAAATAGCACCATACTGTAAGCAGGTGACAAATGAAAATGGTTTGGTTGTCACAGCTGGCAGGTACTTTATTTTCGGGCATCTGGAACTTCTGCTTCACCTTCAGACGCTTGACTTGTCAGAAGTATTTGTTACCATCTACTGGTTGGTCTGGTCATTTGCAACACTTGTGAAAGCTGAGCATAAATACTGCTAGCAAGCTTTGTTGTGGCAGAAAGTCACGGTCATGGTTTTATTTTTTGGGTGAGACGTTGAGCTTGTGGTTTGACAGCCTGGTTGGCCTAATTGTAGGACATCTAGTACCCAGCGGGTCAGAAAAGGCTAGTGCCAGGTAACACAGGGTTTGGAATAAACTCAATCTGGTGGCTTGGTAAATACATTTTATTGGGTTAACTTTGTAGTGGCAGGGTTCGTATTGGATCAGACTTGTCTGTCTAAGCTACTGTGACTTTCTGCTGGTTCAGATATTGCCCATCTTTCTGCACCTGGTATAATTACAGCGCATGCTCCGAGTTAAGTGCTCTGGCTCATTAGGTGGAATCAAGATTATGCGCCAAAGCCCCTTCCAGATCATGTTTGTACTCCCGTGTAGCCTAAGGTTTTTCTAATATTTTACTTTTTTCTCCATACTAACTGACCATGGAACTGTGGCTTGACAAAGTGAGAAGTTATTAAACTTGCTCCAGCATGGGTTTTGGATGTGGGAATACCTGATTTCCGTTTCCATGCCTTAGTGTTTGCCAGACTGATGGTCTGCGTGACCAACCCTGCTCTTTTCATCCCGAAATTCACTGCAGGATGAAGAGCGTGCTCCCCAGATGGACTGCTGTACTCTTCTAGTCAAAGCAAACACGTAACAAAATCTCTCTAGCCCCCGGCAGCCCTCGCTCGGTGCTTGTTTGGGAGAAGTGTGTACAGAGCAGTGGCTTTGAAGGCAGGCCAGGAAGGCATCGGTTCATTTACGCAGCTCCAGAGGCTCGGCATGCCGTTTATTGGGTGCGCGGGGCTGAGGCTCTCGTTGCAGTTCAGGGACACAACCCCTGAAGGTACAGCTGTCACCGTGCAGCTTGTTTACCGATCGGGGCTCGACTGCTTCACTGCGAGTGCAGGGCACCGTGTTCTTCCCAGCATTAAGTCCAATTATATGATCTTTGTTTGAAGAGAGGTGTGAGATTCATCTTCAGCAAACAATAATCCTCTTAGTGGGCTGTAAATTGTAAATAATGATTCCTTGCTATTTTTGGAAGTGATTTGCACAATCAACAGTTTATCGTGTGAAGCCCCGAGTGAGACAGGTTTGGAGAGCAGAGCATTTATTGGCTTGGGTTCCTGTTGCTGAAGTTGCATGGACTGTTTCAGGGCTCTCTCTTCCTCAGAGCTTCTAAATCCAGTCCCCATTTGATTCTTTTCTTTCTCTTTCAGGACAGTTATTCTGAGTGACGGCCCTTGCACACGCTTCTGAGTGGTTATCATGGGCTTCATTGCCTTTCTGAAGACCCAGTTCATAGTTCACCTCCTCATTGGGTTCGTCTTTGTTGTGAGTGGACTGATCATTAACTTCATTCAACTATGCACGCTAGTCCTCTGGCCCATAAACAAGCAGTTTTATCGCCGAGTAAACTGTCGCCTTGCCTATTCGCTTTGGAGCCGTGAGTATGCTTAAAAGGGATGCGAGGGGTGGGGAGGGGAGTGGGTTTTGTTTCTCTTTTTGTTAATTAAAGAAAAAGTGTACATACACAGATACACAAGAGAGAGAAGTGATAAGTTAGACGTAGACTTTCAGAGCAGTTCAAAGCAGCCATCTTTTCTGAAATATCGGGAAAACATACAAAAGTCAAGGGACTGATACATAGTGTCACTCCATTATTCAAACAAGTGGGAAATAAAGCTCCTCGCCACCCCCAGCCCTATCTTGACTGGTAAGAATTGCTGATTCTGTCTCAATACCATCTTCATCTGGCATCAGAGCCTGCGCTAAGTGATGGGGAAGGGGGCATTCACAGAAGCTGCTTCAGGTATTGAAGATACATGCGATATTGACCACTTACTTAGGAGCCCAAGTGGACTGTGTTGTCTGCAGAGAGATTTCTGTCCTAAAGTATCTAGTGTAGATGCCTCTATAGCTGAACTGTGTGACAGCTTCAGAGTCCTCTTACACCCTATAGTCTCCATCTGTGATGCCAGTGTCTCCTCTTGTGAGCAATTTGTCACTACTCTTCTTCTCGTGGCACAGCTCTACAGGGAGTGCAGCTGCTTTGCTTTTCTCTTTCAGACCTTTGCAAAACTTCCTCCCTGTGGATGGCTTTTTTTTTTCCTTCTCATACAGTTTAACAGGGATTAGATTTCTGAAATGAATGTGTAGAAGGCTCCTTAGTCCAAATGTCACCTCCTGTTTCAGCAGTGAATCATCTAATTCATTTCCATTCTCCATTCCCTCCCAGTATGCAGGGCCACTTATCTTAGTGCTCAGCTCAGCATCCAACTCCCACTTCAGGTAAATGAGTCACCTAAATGAGTACTTAAATTACAGTTGAGCAGTCCACTGACAGGCACCCACATTTCTTAAATCATCAATGTGAAGTACTACCAACAAAAACTCTCCAAATACCTCGTTCGGTTTCTTTTTAAGCTTGCTCTCCTTATCCTTCCTGTGCTTTTTATCTGAGAAGCACATAAAAAATGGAATTAAATAGAGAGTGGCGGGCAAACTGTCAAGAGAAAAGGTTTTGTAATAGACAAGCTTACAGGTAGAAACTTCAAAATTAACTTGGTCAGAGGAGAGTGGGGGTAAATGGGATTTTTTTTTAAATTTTATTTGCTTGTAAGAGTTTCTTAATGTGCTTTTGATAATCTAGAATCTGATATCGTCCTGAAGACTGTTGTTGCACTAATAGTCTTGCTTTTCTGAGGATATGAGCTGCTTGTGCCTGTAAGGCTTATATGTTAAGGCCCTTGATTTCTACAAGTTATCATTGTGCATGGGAAAAAATCACATTTTAAATGCTGTTATCTTGTATACACTGGAAATAACCTACACTATTGTACCAAAAGGTTTGGAGAAGCTGGGTAGATAATTGGGTTGTACCTAGGATAACCCCTCGTGTATAGCCTATTATAAATTAAATGATTGAAAAATGAAACTATGAAAATTAACGTCGATGTAATATGGGACTGCAGAGTGCCAATGGCCTGTAATGGAAGAGCTGACAGAATATGCACTTCAATTGTGATTTATAACGAATTAAGCAAGCCGTGTAAATGCAGCAGTTCAAATGCTGCCATTCATAATGAAATATATTTCATTATGTGGAAGCCTTTTGGCAGTGAACCTGTCGGTTGGTGTTCTGTTCCGGATGCTACGTTTTGCTCACTACTCCAAGCTGTTTAGTTTTAGGCTGGGGGTGTTCATGTCAGAGCTGTCTGTGACAGGAGCTGCTCTGCCCGTCTGGCAGAGGATCAGCGTGCAGGGGTAGATACAGAGGTGATCGTGTGTCTCGCTATGTACTATAGCATTCTACAAACCAGGCTCCCTTCTCAAAGACATAAAACACAGCTTCAGAAGGGGAAGGAGATAGACTCTATCCAGTGTTCATAGCAGACGTTTGGGGAAAAAACATCTGAGGGCTCTGGCCTCAACATAAAATCTTTGCAGTGTGTGTAATTCATGACGGGTAGTCTGTCCTTCAGCCTCTCCTACATCAGCTCCTTTCAGATGACTCACACCTTTGGAGAGCACAGCACGTTTGGTTTAGTGTGGTTGCAAAAATAGTCTCTCAAATGTTAGTACTTAAACTGAGAGGTGTGCTGTGCCTCCTGTTTGCTTTGTTTCTGGGTGGTTTGCGAGGCCATAAACCCGCCTGCTTTGGTGTGTGGGAACGCCGTCTGCAGGAGGGGGTTTGTTGTAGCAAGGTGTTGCTTGTCCTCTACAGGAAGTATCCCAAGCAGTGCCAGCTTGAGCATCCCTTCGTTCAGAAGGATGGGCTTGCTGTAGCATCGGCAGGATCGGTGCCACGCAAAATAGGTGTAACTCACACACCAAAAGAAAGGAAATGAGCCCACTCCTGGTGATAATTACATCATTTATCAGTACGCTTGTAAAGGACAATCTGTTTCCTCGTATTAATTCTCCAGCTCATCAACCCTCCTCTCTCAGTATGAACTCTGGCAAATCTCTCAGCAAAGCTTCCTCCACTGTTTTAGAGTGCGTGGTACAAGAAATGCTCTGCAGAAAATCATCCATACCTGCCTCTGCAGATTTTTTTTCTGATTTTGAAGAAGAAAACACACCTATTTTATTTTATTTTTTATAAGCAAAAGCAGCAACTGTAGCAGGTACTGGAGATGTTCCTCCTTAGTACGTAGGCAGCAATGGAAAAGGAAGATTGCTCAGAGTACAACACTGTGTTTGGTACCACAACTCCATTCTCCTGGCTGCCTGCTTGGAAAAGCATAGCTTTTTGCTGTCCTCTTCCCCCTTTTACCGAGCCAGGATAACCAGAGCAAGAAAGGTAAGTGATGACATCATTCACAAAGGAGACAAAGCTGGAAAGCAATGAGAGAAACCTTAGTTGGTATAAACTATTACTCTGTCCTTCCTCTGCTGTATTTCCAGTTGACCAGGGTTACACTCTCTTGACCAGCAAGTTGCACTACTTTGCCATGTCTCCAAATGAGTGGGTCTTCAGCAGACCAGGATTGGTTTTCTCTGTCATTCACTTAAATACTGTGTTTGCCTTCTCTCTGGTGTGGTGCAAAATTGGACCCGCTCTTATTTAGGAGTATCAGGATAGACTACCCTGTCGTGATCCCACTGATCAGAAGCCCTTGTGCAGGAGGGTGCTGCTCCATTTTGCAAAACCAGGGCCTCCCAGCGGAAAGTTGAAATACCGCGTGGCAGAACCTGATGTAGAGGAGCGAGGCGGCGCCTTCCCGTTTTGACCCTGCCACTTTGTTGTGGTAACGTGGGAAGAGTTGGAATTTTTAACTGCCGTTTTTGTGCAACCAAGTTTTGATTGCAGCCATATCTCATTGAAATGAGAAAATACTAATGACTACAGTTTGCATGGACGCAAATCTTCCTGCTGTGAAAATGAACTATCCTCATACTTTTTATAGTTGTCCCATGGTACAAGCAATGCCTTCCATCTGCATCGTTGTACTGAAATGAGAGAAATAGGCTAACCATAGCAACTGCATTCAGTGTGTGCTGAATTTAACTGGAAGGATTTTTTTCTTAAGATGAAAAAAGGGGAGGTGGAAAATAAGAAGAGTGGGTGATGAAGGAAATGTGCAGGGTGGAGTAAGAGTGACGCTGGGATATTGAAAAGCTGGAGAAGACAGAAGGGAAAGGGCTCATTCTTGCTTTTGCAGGGAAAGAAACACACATTCCTGTTTTTTCCTGGGTATTTTGGTAAATTAGCTTGATTCTCTGGTGCTTCTGACTGTGTTGATGACCATAATAGAGAGTGATTGGAGTCCTGTGTTCTAATATTAAAGTCTACTGCGTAAGATATATGGCACTGTATCCTTTTAAAAGCCCTTTATTGGTTTGTTTACCTCCATAAAGCTTGTTTCGTGTGGAGTAAAAGCATTAGACCACATCTATGCATAATTTGTATTTCACCTGGGACAAACTGTACTCATTTAGTAGAGCAATCAACGGCTCATCTGTCTGTTTTCAGGCACAAAGTTTTGGCATTTTTTCTCAGTGATCATGAAATTTCACATTCGTAATATAATGCCCAAATTTGTCACTGTTAAAAACTTGCTAAATTATCCTTAATGCATATATCTGGTGCCCTGAATACTGCTTAAGGATGATGGTGTGATTTGGTCTATACCCATCCAAGCTCTCATTTCATCTCTACTGGGTTGGATTGAAAAGGTGACAGTGTTGTTGGGAGTCAGAAGAAGCTAGGCACCAAACGGGGCTGGAGATAAAATACTAAATGTTTTCTGTAAGTGGCACCCCTAACTCCTCTTTCTGTCTTCATCATGTTTGTTAGAGTTGGTAATGCTGCTGGAATGGTGGTCAGGCACAGAGTGCACCTTGTTCTCAGACGAGGCCACAGTGAACACCTTTGGGAAAGAACATGTCATCATCATCTTGAATCACAACTTTGAAATTGACTTCTTGTGTGGCTGGACCATGACAGAGCGCTTTGGAGTGCTAGGGGTACGTGGGGCCACAAGCTTTCCCTTCATCTGGAGGATGATAGGTCTGTTTAAAACCTGTGCACGTACAGTTTCTTTGCATTTGAGTTTCCAGACATAAGTCCATCAGCTCTTCATCATTTTAACTGTAATGTCTTTAATCTCATTGTACAAATCAGGAAATGACAATTTTGGATTCTTGTTTTTTGTTTTTCTCCAAGAGTTCCAAAGTTCTTGCTAAGAGAGAGCTACTGTATGTGCCCCTAATCGGCTGGACGTGGTACTTCCTTGAGATTGTTTTCTGCAAAAGGAAATGGGAAGAAGACCGAGATACAGTTATTGAAGGATTAAAACGTTTGGCTGATTATCCTGAATATATGTGGGTAAGTGTTGAGTTCCCCCTCTAGCACTGACTGCTAGAAGCAAAATGGTGACAGAGATACTCGTGTGGTACTGTAGCCTTATGCATCGGGAGAAGATCTGCTCACTAGCAAGTGTTGTCAAGGAAGGTGTGTGCTCTGGTTCAGGAGGTCTTTTGGGATGTGCTGGTAAAGTGTTGCTCTGTTTGCCTGTTGGTAAGGGAAGTCATTTGGGAAACAGTCCAGAAGCTTGCGTAGATGTTAGAAGCTTGGCAGTAATTTATAAGTCAGGCTTGTATAATTCTTGTTAATTTTGTCTGAACTTATTTTTACCTTTTTAAAAAAATAACCACCCGTATTTGACTACTGAATCTATGTAACCTTAAGGTACATTTTCTGAGGTAGGCTCAAAAGACACATAAAAAAGTCTTTTCTGGAGAAGTGAGTGAATCGGGGGGATATGCACAGACGATGGATTTTGATAGGAAGTTCTTGTTAGTGTGTTCATTGATCTGTGAAATTATTGATTTCCAAAAAGTCTCTATAAGAACATATGGCAAGCTTACATCTGCTTTTGCAGTTATGCTATTCCTTTTTATTTTGACATTACTTGAAGCAAAGGGTGGAACATCTATGTTTCATTATGTGCAATGTTAGATTTTACTGCAGCAACACGGTGGTAGGATCAACTGATTAACCTTTTAGTTTTGGATGCAAACATTTTGATAAATTTACTGGTTTGCTTTTGTAGCAGCACATGTAATGTACAGTTGTTTGGCTCGTAAAACATTTTAAGAGGCTTTTTGTGCATTTTTAAGTCATTTTTCAATATGACCCAGTACAGCTTGTTAAAAGGAACAGTGAAATAGTAAGCCTTAACTAGTGCATTGTGAATGCGTGATTAGTGATTTTCTATAGTTACAAAGATAAAAAAAATAAGAATCTGGAGAATGTGTTTTAAATTACTTAATTTGTTGAATATATGGATATGAACTGCATTTAATATATCTTCCTGATCTGTATTGGAAAAAAAGAAAAAAACCCCTACCAATAAAAAAATCTCCAGACTGTACTTGCAAATCTATACATTTTAATGATTCTACGATTAAGAACCAAGGACTAGTCCCTAGGGAAAACAACTAGAAAATATAAATGCAGAATGTAGTTAGCATTGATTATTTAAATCAAGACTTCCTGCTTGGTAATTTAAATCATGATTAAAATTGACTTGAGTAAATCAATTTCCTATTTTTTGTGCATTCTAAATGCCACAGTTAGGGCTGTCTGCGCAACCTTCCTTCATGAGGTCTTTGTCACACGTGCGCTGCAGCGCAGTCTGTGCCTCGCTCGCATGCCTGGTCCAGAAGGATCACTGCACCGTTGAGTAAAGAGGGTGAGAATTTGGTATAGAGGGAAGGGCTCACATTGCAGACTGGGGTTAAGATTGAGGTGCCACACTCTGTACCTTGTGCTGTCCTCACCGCTTGGTGGTGATGCTTGGTCAGGCTTTCACAGTGAACGTGCCCTCAAGGGCCAAACGAAGATAGCAGGATCAGTTCCTGTTCTCTCACTGCCCTCTGGCAGGTCTAACTCTCGTGTCTATGGCTTTGCGGTTTTAATATTCATTTAACTTACCTTTTGTGGGGCGCAGCATGTGGATGCACTACAGAGAAGAGGTCAAGCAACCACAGTACTGACGAAGAGCAGATGTATAGCGATGCATTTGACAAGTCTTTCTTTTGAATTGCAACATTACAGTGTTGCGTGATGCTGCTGTGAGAGGGTAGTAGCAGCCTGCCCTTCTCCTGCTCCATTGCTTGCCTGGGGTGCAGAGGTTTGGGCGTTCAAGTGCAGCAATGTTTCCGTTGCTGGCGCAATGGGAACAATGTCCACCTTTCAAAAAAGGCCGGGGATAAACAGAAATTCACCCTAGGGCCCTCAGAAGGGCTTTAGTTGTCTGTTCTTGGGTTTGCATTGCTTCTGGTCTCTCTCTCAACTAGAGCGGAGGCAATATAGAGGCTGGAGAAGGACAGATAGGTGTTTTGTGCTGCTTGAAGTCAGTATGGGAGGATTTACGTCTTTACTAGTTACTCAGGATACCACGGTGAGATTGGTGCCTTACAGGATGAACAAGGTAAAGGTTTAGGGTTTCAGAAGAAAAAAGCTAATAAAAAAAAAAAAAAAAAAAAAATATCAGAAAACCTTTCAGACAAACCAGCCTGTCTTCAGATGAGTAATTCTGGTTGCGCAATACAATTTTTAAATGAGGTAGCTAGTGATTAATATGTTTTTTCCTAAAGTGGTCACGTACTGATATTTGGATTGCTTTTTCTGATTTGTAGATTAGTCCATCACTAGCCAGCCAAAGCCTTCAGGAATTTTTCCTTTTTTAAGTAAATGTTTCAAGTGTAGCTGTTTAGACTTTTAATCACCTTAAATTTGGTACCAGAGTTAAAATTAAATATAATTGTCAATGAGTTGTGAGGTAGTGCTTATGCCTAACACTTGATGAGACAATTGAAGGGTGTGCGCATGCATGGATGTATATTTATCTTGCTGAGCAGAATACTGAAAATTTGTGGTTCTTTTGATCTCAAGATGTCCTTGTTTTTGCCTTTTGCCTCATTGTACTAGTTTCTCCTGTACTGTGAAGGAACTCGTTTTACAGAGACCAAGCATCGTATCAGTATGGAGGTAGCTGAATCCAAGGGGTTGCCTAAACTGAAATACCACCTGTTGCCCAGAACCAAAGGTTTCACCACTGCTGTCCAGTGTCTCAGGGGAACAGGTACTGGCAAGCTGCTACTTGTTCTTTGCGTTAGTTGCAAAGGGTAGTATACTATGTTGTTCATTATGTCCATTACAATTAGTGAGTTGGCAGTAACAAGCGTTCGATATGTCAACTATTATTTGAAAATTGCCACATAACTCTCGGATACCAGTCTTAAAAAGTAAGAAAACTTTAATGTATGTTATTGTTGCTTAGTTCATCAAGTCCTCTTGTGTTTTGATAACACATGTGCTATGTGTAGTTGAGAATGTCAGGTAGCTGATACAGATAAATACAAGGTGTAAACACAAAGTAGTGAAGGACTCTGCTACCTGACATTGTTAATGTAAGGCTTGCAAAAGGGTCTGTTGCTGCCTAATGCGAGGTTGCCAGCAGCGTGGTTGCTAGAATTAATGCTATAACAGCCATATTTTCTTTTTTGCCACAGTTTCAGCAGTGTACGATGTAACACTAAATTTCAGAGGAAACAAGAACCCATCTTTATTAGGAATTCTTTATGGAAAGAAATATGAAGCAGATATGTGCGTAAGGTGAGCATATAATGATGGAGGTGAGCCTTAAGATGCACGCTTTGACACGTTGAAGTGTATTCAGATTTTATAGGGAAATGTCCTTTCCTGTATTCCCCTTTTCCTTGTCCTTCAAGTTTCTCTGCAGGCCACAAAGGCCTCCCCGTTTCCCCCCTGCTTCAGTTTGCTTTTGTGTGAGGTCGCATGATATCAGCCAGCAAGTCAGAGAGCACTGGACAGACTTTTTAAGCCTGGGTGTGACCACTGTTATTCCAGGGTTTCCCTGTTTTGTGCAGTGAGGACACTCGTCTGCCTTTTTCTCTTCTCTGCTGGGAACAGGAAACCAACTGTTCTGCCCCCTTCCCAGTCCCCTGCGAGCATATGCATAGTACAAATAGCCTGTCCAAACTTCAGTAGTCACTTGGAGTAGGTAGTGTAAAGCCTCCATCCTGTGCCGGTTTCTCTCTTTCTCTCACATGGTTTGGTTAGCAGATTAGAAGTTAAATAATGCTGAAGTTCAGACATTGTATGAATGAGGTAGGACATTCCTCGCATTCCTCATTACTCTTTGGCCTGAAAGAGTAACTGCTAACACCTAACTCCATGCAGCACATACACACATGCATGCGAACACACATAGACTTTTTCTTTCTGGCTTTCTCCTTGTTGCCTTATGCTTTAAAGGCTTCCTTGTGATCATAAAGACTTCCCTTTCCTGTTGAATTTCTTCTTTTCTCTTTTATGTTTGGACCTGACAAACGACCTGGTTGTTCTTTCCACAGTTCTTTTGACAGTTCACTTCTGCTTCTCTGGGGACTTCACCAACACTTTGGAAAACGTTGCTATGTTCTAGTGATGAGGTTGATGCTTGGTTTTTAAAAGAAAAAAAAAGAAAGCCTTGCTACTTCCCCCACACACACACCTTTTCCCTCTGATCTTGGGTCTGTGCGTTGCAGATGCATGGCACTGGCTCTCTATGTTGTCCTTCTAATGAAAGCAGGTGTGTCCTGCCAGAGCCTCCAACAGTGAAAGTTTGTGGGGAATCACTCTGATTATGCGTTGTGTCAAGGTACAGCAGCAACAGTTTTTTGGCAGAAATGCTATCCCAGGGGAGGCAGAGGGCTGCAGCCCTGATGGGGAAGGGAAGGACACGTGTTCCAGTTCTGTTCTCTGATGCTGCATCTTCACAACGGTTTAGTCTTCCAGTTGGAAAGAAGGCTGCGGAGTGGGATGGGGAGAGAGAGGGGGTCACTGATTTGCGAGGGGTTTCGTTTTGACTATTGACACTTGCCAGACATAACCCTGAAGAGGAAAGTGAGCAGACAGCTTACCAGCTAGCAAAACAGCTGGTCAGGCGGTCGCCATCTGTTAACTCCGTACTGATGGCTGATGCATGGAGAGTGTCTGGCTGGATCTGGGGTGCACATGCACGGATGTACGTCTGTATCATTATACCTTGACAAGCGGCTGCATTCAGTTTAATATCCTATGGCTTGCTAATGGAGATGCAAGTTGGTTTTATTTATTGGTGAGGTAGTGGGAGCAAAGAAGAGAAATGAAGTTTTTAGTAGTTGTTAGAAGAAGTTTGCGTTTGTAGAATTCTGTTGAGGATGATGTTGCCAGGTCCAGTTACTAAGTGTCCCCTATTAAAGAAACTAATGACTATGTTCAGATAATTTTTATTTAAAATATGTTTGTGGACTGAAGCAACATTCTCAAGGTGCTTTTCTACACTTGAAGCTTTTTCTCTGTTTTGGAGAGGAAGCTATGAGAATAAGGAAACTATTTTTACAGTCTTTTTGCTGAAAATTGAACGCGTCCTTAATGTGCCAGCAGACTTAGCTTAGCACAGAGAAAGGAAGCGTGTAAGCTCCTGTTCTTGGTATATGAGTATGCAGTTACCTGTGCAGCAGTAAGAAGATTAGCTCTCTGCAGAGGATCCAGTCTTTCTCCTGACTGGCTCCAGAGAAAATAATCGGCTAAATTACCCAATGTTGTTGCTGTGAATACCCTCTAGTGGTGATAGCAATACAACGACAACTTTACCAGAGAGCTTTCAGCAAATGACTTTTTACTGAGCTTTTATTGAGAATTATTTATATTAATTGAACAGCTCCTCCTGTTAGAGCTAATGAAAGTAAATCTGTAAAATCTGGTGTTCAATTCGTTTATGGGATGCAGAAATTATTAGAAATGTATTCAAATATCTTTCTTCTGCTGCTGCAGACTCCAAGGCTTTAGTTTGTGCTGTGGAAATTATTCCCTGGCTGAACAGTAGCAAATAAGTTGTATCTGGGATCACTGTGTTTAGAGCCCTCCCAGAGGTCAACCTTCTGTTCTTATGCCCTCCTGACAGTCCAAGTGTTACCAAAACATGTTCGAGCTGAGGGTAAGGTGTGTGCCTGCCCTCTACAAACCGAGCAACTTCTTTCTGAATTGATCCAGGACTGAGATGTGTGCCACTGAGAAACGAGGCAATACTCTTGTGAGCGTGTTAGTGGCCTGTCTTGGAAAATAAAAGAACGCAGGAAAATGGTTGGCTCTTAAAAGGTGCCCGTTCTCGGTGAGGTCAGGTCAGTACCTGGAGTTGGGCATAATTTTCGTATGCACCCAGAATTGCATGCCTCAGTCTGTAGGGCTGGAGGGGCAAGGAGAGATAAGTGCTGATGCTGTGGAAGGTGATGTTTTCCTTAGAGTTGGTACAAAGCGAATTTTTAACCACCCCTCCCATTCCTTCCAAAATGGAGTTTTTACTAACAAAATGTAACAAACAGTTATCCTGGAGTTGGCCACTTGCTTGTCTTTTCCCAGCTCTGGGTTACTCAGTCTGAGCTTACTGGGAATCAACTGGTGGTGGTGGTTCTGATCAAGGAAAAAGTGTTTGAATGGGAAATGCTTGTTTTGCTGCTGTGCCTTGAAATTAATAGGAGCTTGTACAGTTTCTTTTGTCTTAGGAATCTGAGTTTTTAGGTGGAGAATCAGGTGTTATTTAAGTCCCAGTTCTTCTCTGCATTTAAGACCTCTGCCATCAGTGACAGTATTACCTGTAGCTTATGCCCTTCATTGAATGGAAGATCTTCCCTAGTAGAGCTCTGAAGTCAAATAACTGGGATTTTCACTTAATTCTTTTTTTTTTTTTCCCCTCCTTTTTTAATCTCTCTGCTACACTAGGAGATTTCCTCTGGAAGATATCCCTCAAGATGAAAAGGAAGCTGCAAACTGGCTTCATAAGCTTTACCAGGAAAAGGTAAACAGCTTTGCTTTCTTTTCTATCTTTTGGGACTTTCACAGGGGTGTAGTGTATTAAGGCACGGGTGTAGTGTATTAAGGCACACAATTCCACAGGATGGAGAGAAGAGATGGAAATATTATGTATAACTAGGCAGCCATTTCTCAAACTGCTGGAAAGAGCAGTACAGAAGAGCCCCTTGGCCACAGAGGGCTGGCTAGTGAAAGGTCTCAAATTGCCAGGAAGCATAATGGGATTTAGAGATGTGCCTGAGTTGCGAAAGACTAGTAGTAATCCACTGTCTTTTTATATTCTTCAGCCCTTGGGTCTCTGTCATACATTTTTAAAAGCTCCATTTTTTCCTGTGGGTGTTTTTAGGCACTCGATAAGAGTGACAACTGTCTGTTAGGGACAGCCGGTCCCGGCTCTTAGCTGCAATTGTCCTTTGCTTTCATGTTTCTTTCACTGTCACTTTCCTTCTGCCTCCTGGTAATACCTCTGCAGTGGTGTTTGACATGGTACAGACAGTCCCTGGGAACTGCTGCCAGGGACTGATGTAGCGCATGGCCAGCATGTCTTCAAACTGCTCAAAGCTTTTCCTCATGTCTTTTTTTTTTCTTAGGTGGCTAATTTCTTGACCACAGATTTAACAGTTCTGTGAAGGGGATGGGCTATTGCCTAGCCCTAGCTGGTGGATTGTTGAACTTGAAATGTGTATCTTGATTTTTTGTGTTGCTTATCTTTGTGGGAAAACAGAGGAGCACAGAAACTTTAGCTATCTTGGGCTTTCTTCTGCTATGATGACCTCTGCTGCAGCATTGCCAAGCTTACGCTTAGCCTGTAGGTAGGCAACAGGTTGTTCTGAGTTTCATTTTGTTCATTGTAACCCAATTTGTTTGAACACCTAAGCTCTAATTCTCAGATACTGCAACTTCCACAACATTTTAGTCTTTTGGTTGAATAATTCAATTACCTAATTCAATTAAGGGGAGAGAATTTATCTTACAAAAAGCAGTAGCTACCATCATCTTCTCCCTCCACCTCCCACTAGCAGTTGTATCAGAGTGGCTTGTGGGTCAGTTAGTGTAATATGGGATTAGCTTAAAAATAAAAAATTGGGAAATTGGGATCCTTGAATCCCGCCTCCTGCTATCAGGGGCATGCCGTTACGTAATTCCCTTGTGAAAAGGCTCTTAGATGCACGAATTCCTTCTGACACTGCCTGGCTGGAGGAGCAGATGTTAAGGTGCATGTTACAGGGGTGGTCTTTCTCTGCTTGACTCCTGCTCTGTTGGACAGTAGATGCAGAGCTAAGCAGATGCAGCACGGAGCATTCACTCTGCTTGGCGCCATTCCTTGGGCAGAATGTCCCGCTTTACTTGCGGGTGGAGGGCTTGGTGTTCCTTGCTGGTGGCAGCTGTACCTCCGTACAGCTTTGGTGTGAGGTGTTGCTGGGGAGGTATTACTTATATATGTGGGCGTTTTTATATATTGATCATATGGTGGTAGCAATACGGTGTAACTGGAATTCTTAAAGTGCTCTTCCTGCGCAGAGGTATGTCCTCTAAAGGCTGTGTTATTGGCAAGGACCGCCTTGCACTTCCCAGCCCTTTGTAAGGGAAGTTAAAAGAAAAACAGCTTAAGTGGGGAAAAATAAGAAATAGCCAAACTTGAGCCGTCCTTGGTAATGGCTTGGAAACCTTACAGAACGTTCTTGCAGATGGAGGGAAGACTGCGGGCATGCTGCTCCTTTGAGTCACGTGTTTCATGATTGCACCTCTCTGCAGGCCCAGCTCATGATGCAACTGCTCTGTTGAAGTCTTGGGGTTATGGCTAGCACAGTGCTATCTAATGCTGGTTAACTTGTGCTTTGCCTGCCTCTTCTGGCTGTATATTCAGCGTTTTTCTGCTGTGCTTTGCTAAATCACGCTGACCTTTCTGGAAGAAAAAACATCCAGCAAATAGGCAGGTAGTGTCTGAATTGGCCTCTGGCCTGATGCTGCCCTAAATTCCTGAGCAATTAAGAGAAGAGATGAAGGTATTTGGTAGCGGAGAGGCTGATAGGGTTTCAGTTTCTGATAGTGGCCAAGATTGCCTTCAAAGGGCTAATCCAGTAGCCTTGGCAGTCAACAGAAATGCCCAGTAAATGACAGCAGATGGCAATGGATGCTGTGTACTCTTGATGGGTGTTTACTGCAGATGCTGTTTTTGATGTTGTCCTGAAGTCGACTGGTCTTGGATTGCTTGCTGCAAGCATTGTGTTTTCTTCTATCTTCTCTTTCTCCCAGGATGCTTTGCAAGAAATGTATAATCAGGAAGGCATATTTCCTGGCCAGCAGTTCAAACCTCCTAGGAGACCATGGACTCTCCTAAACTTTCTTTTTTGGGCCACAGTTCTCCTCTCTCCTCTCTTCACATTTGGCTTTGGAGTTTTTGCAAGTGGATCACCTCTCCTTATCCTTGCATTCCTGGGACTTGTTGGAGCAGGTAATAAAAGCAGAGAAGATGCTACGCCCAGAGTGACTTGTAACAGGATCTGTTACCTCCAGTAAATTCTGTGTATTAATTACTATGAGTGGGGCTTGCAGAAGAGTACTTGGAGCTCACTCTGTAGTCTTTATATTGTATAGCATTTTTATTACTTCGAAAGCTTTGGTTCAGGCAGGCCTGCCTTCTTATCTTCAGCAATATCTATAACAATCAATAGCAAGTGAGTCTTGTAGCCCATTATTATGGTGCCTGAAGGAGAAAATAGTTTTACTGCACACCTTGTCTGTGAATTAAAACAAACACAAAACCAACCAAACAAAAAAATACGAAAAACCTGAGCCCCCAGCCCTCCCCCCTAACAAAAAAAAAGGGGATGGATATGCTTCAGTGTTCATACTACCTGTCCTGTTAATCAAGAAGTATTAATTACATTTTTAGAAGCATTAATTATATTTTTAAATCTGGATTGTCCTCCTCTTTTTGTGACATCTGACCTGTGATCCATGTGCAGCCTTGTGGAGCGCACTGTTGGTCTGTAGTCACTACTATCTTCAGGATGGGGTTCACTCATGTTGGTTCTGCCTGTGTGCTTACATGTAACTTCCTAAATTCTTAAACTGGTTTCTAATATGCCTCTCATTTCTCTGTTGTATTTTAAAGCTTCCTTTGGAGTTCGTAGACTGATAGGAGTAACTGAAATAGAAAAAGGCTCCAGCTATGGCAACCAAGAATTCAAGAAAAAGGAATAACTGACAGCTGCAGTTCAGCACATATAACCAGACTATGGTATCTGATTAACTTCAGTTAAAAAACAACAACAAACACTTAGAAACTATCTTTTTCTTAATAACTGATGACTAATATTAATGAATAAAACTTGAGCCAAGAATGAAGAAGTTGGAGGCATCAAACTGACAAGAACGCATCAACTTTCTGCCTGTTTAAGGATTACTGTAGTCAAACTATGGGAGAAAATCTGGGGCAGGGTGGAAGAAGAAACTAATTTTTCTTGCTTTGTTGGGGGACTAGGGGGTGGGGGGAGAAAAAGGTCATTGACCATGGCCACGTGCGTCTTCAGATGACTGAATACACTGGTTTCTGTCAAGAGCACTACACTCACTTTTACAACAGGAGCCATTGAATGTTTCCTCTTGCTAAAGCCAACGTAATGTTTGTTGATTTCCAACTTTTTTTTATTAATGAGCCAGGAAAAGACAGCCCTTCTTAAATTAATTGACGGATGTTCATCGGGTTAGAGTAATTTTGGAAAGGCTGTGTTGTCATGGCTGCAGATGAAATCCTATTTGTGTGTACACTGATACTTTTTTATTTTCAGGCAAGGTCTTAAAACTTCTGTAATGCAAGAGAACAGATAGTATAGTTTGGAAGCAGTGCGTTACTGATCAGCACATACCACAGAGAACAGATCCACTAGTATTAAAACAGCATAGAGTTCTCATCGTATCTCCTGCTAACTGCTCAAGGCTGTTTAATTTCAAAATATTACTTCAGTCTTGAGTGTTGTTTGCCCTGTGTCACATCACACGTGTATGATAATCTTGAATCTGTTTGGGCTTGTTTTGTTTTCTGAATTAATGGTGACCGTGGGATTTGGAGTTGTGCAAAGAAGGAAATTATTCAATTGTCCTGACGTTTCCTCCTGTTATTTCTGTCCACATACTTCATCATCAAAGTCCAGTTCAGCCAGGCTCTCTCAGTACACTGGGAGGCAGCAGCAGAAATGAGCACAATCGTTTCCAAAATGTTGTCTTTTACAAAAATTTGAAAAGGAGAGGTTTGTAGCAATCAGACTTCAAATACTGGCATCTCTTCAACTTTTAATGGGAGTTTTGACATTGATTCAAATGGGGCCAGGATCTTACCCTGTGTGCTGTAATGAATAGAGTGTCCTGCGCTTTCTACTTGGTCGTGCTTTAGATGTTAATGTGAAGTATATCACAAGGTGAGCTGTGCTGTTAAGCATTAGAAAGAGTATGGGGTCTCTTCAGGGATTTTAAGTATTTTTAGTTTTGCTTGTTGACCTTTTTAGGGTTTTTTCACTGAAAATTAGAGACCAGAATTACATGGCTGTACCTGTCTCTTGTTTTGTTTTGTTTTGCTTTTCTTTTTCTTTTTTACAGATGCACATTCTGAGATTTTTGTAGATTGATGCTGTGTGCTTAGCTGGAGAATTATTTGCAAACAGATGGGAACTACCTGTATGTTCAAGTGTGAAGGGCACAATCTGTATTTGGCTACCCTCAGAAGTGAAATGGCTTGCAGATCTACAGCTGAGGGCAGGAGCTGACCCTCAGGGTCTGTATTTTTAACACAGCTGCCCCTAGAATATTTATCTCACTTTTGTAAAGAGCAGATCTTATCAAAGCACTGGTCATTATTTTCATCTTTGCTCTAGTAACCAAGATAAGAGAGTAATAATTTACCTTCTTTCTGTATTTACTCTAGCTGCTGGAATGTAACCTCTTCTCCCACAGGTTTTTCTGTTTTCAAACACTGGAAGAGCAGTTTTGTAACTTAGAAAAATATTTTACTTGGAGTCATTAATCACTGTTCTGTCACGCACTTGATTTTTATTTGTGGTCTTTTTAACAAGAGGATTTGAAGGATGACCTATGTTGTCTGTCTCCTGTTAGACCCATCCTCACTGAATCATTGTACCCATAGCTCCAGCATTAGTATGTCATCTTTGACCCCTTAATAAATCTTCCCTAAGATAGGGGATGCAAAACTGTTGTTAATGTTAGTGGAATTTGGAATATGCTTTGGGAATTAAGGAGAACAGAGCCTGGCCATGACTGTTTTCCTTGCTAGGTGTTTTTGTACATTGTCTTTAAATATGGTTAGACTTCAAAATGCTGATAAAGATAACTCTCTGACTTCTCCTTGTTTTTTAAATGGAGGACTAAAAGCAGTGGGCTTTCCTTTCTTTATTCTTTTTTTTTCTTTCTTTCTTTCTTAAGTAATTCAGTAAAGGATGTAATTCTTGCTTCTTAGAAAGATGTTACAAATGCTGTATACTTGCTTCCTGAAGATGATATTGAGTATATATAAATTGTACTGGCTTAGCAGAGGGAGGCTTGCAAAGCAAGCTGACCATTGACTATGTTTTATACTTATATTTTGAGCAGTATATTAATGGGCATGACAAGAATTTCACAAAATAAATCCCTTCTTAATGCTGAGAAGAAGGGAGATGTTTAAAGGAGAAGGGAATTAACAGCCTTTCTCTTTACAGGATTCTTTTCTCCTCTTAGTGCATGTAACTCCCTATTTGGAATCATGGGATTAGTGCATGTACATCAAGGGGAGAATAATCAACATTTCATATTTCCTTATCATAACTTACTGGTCATGCTTTCTTTTTGAAAATGTAATAAACAACATCATCAGTTACTTAAATGTTGCTCTTCTAAACAGACATATCAGTAACCATGTGGAAAGCTGAAATATACGCAATGCACAAAACAGTACAAAACCAACACAAATCTCTTCATTTTGAATTTTATCTCCTCAAATGGGGGTTTTTATACACACGCACGCGCACACGTACACAGAGTATGTATAAATTAAAATGACTGGAAATAGCTGAAGTTAATGTCACTAATGAAGTTTAGCAGATGGCTTGGATTGGAAAAGTAAGCATAGATTTTATATCTTATTTTCTTCTGGTTTAATAGAACATAGCTTGTATATTTGACTACCAAGCCCTTTAAGAGCAATAATAAACAAAAATATATCATGTTTTTCGTCTTTTGCTTTTCAACCATTCTAGGTTTAATAAACTTAAAGCTATAGGAGCGTTTTCTCTCTCCACCTTTCAAAACTTTCGTTTATTGCTTGATTATTTAGACTAGATACCATGTCCTCCAGTATGGACTAGCAAGCTGACTGCCATGGAGTTCTGCATTGACTCCGAAGATTAATGGTTCTCAGACTAACATGGACAGATGCTTTGCTTTTGTCAGCACTTGTCATTGTCATGAACAGCAATGATGTTGCTCGCAAAGTGGTGGCATCATGTTGACCTACGTCTAAGAACCTGGTGGGAGAGCTCGGAAATTGCTGGCATTGTGGCATCTCTCAGTTAGGAAGGCACAAAAAGCTGATGCTGAAGAAGGACCAGGTAACTGGTACCCAGAGGTCTTGGCTCAGTAGGGATTACAGTTCTCTCTTGCTCATTGTGGGCTGAATGTGCTCTTGTAATCGACTTTGCGTCACTGAGCAAAATACCTGTCTCTGGCACAAAGAGCATGGGCAATGTTCCTTTGTTCTGCTTTAACTTATCTTGAAGGGCTCTACACTTAATTGCTGACCAATGAATATGACTACTACCTTTGTCCTAATTGCCTAGTATTCACAGAAAAAGTGAGTGTGTCTGCTCACTTCCTCGTGATACCACTTGTCTCCATCACGGATGTCTGTATATTTGCTTGCTTGTATTTTCTGCAAATGGTTCGGTTACGACTTCTTAGCTGGAACTTGGAGCTTTCTCGCTCAACCAGTCCCATAGAATTTGTCTCACGTAGCTGGGGTTTTGTTTTCCTGCATTTTGGCGCTGGTTGACATGCTCAGTAGGTCTGAAGTGACACAGGTTGTGTTGAAGGTGCATTAAGCGATAATGCAACTTCGCTGCTTCAGAGCAAAACTTTTATTAGGGAAGAGAAGTCCTTCCCAGGCCTGCTCCTGTAGGCCATCACTACCTGGTAACGGGTCCCTCTGGCATTGATGAAACTAAGAGAAGTGACCTGGGACAAGGTCTTCGCTAACAGCTGGAGTAACTAGCAAGTGGGGGTCACTGCACATCTGGTAATTGCTAAAGGTACCATTTCTGCCTGGGACTGCCCCAAGATCTGGTTTTGCTTCATGTACATTTTGATTAAAGAAACGTGGGTTGGAGGCTTTTAATAATGCTGAGTTCACTCTACGCAGAGCGTTTCAGATTGAAGACAGGTAATATTCATGTATTTTGGCATCTTGAAGAAGCACGTATTAAGAAGTCTAAGGCCAAGATTGGACAGACCTCGCCCAAGTGTGTTTCATTCGGATGCTGGAGGCAATGCAGATAAAAGTGAAAAATCCATTCCTAGATTTCCTTTGAAAATCCGGCACAGCAGTGTAGCTCGCAGCGTCTCCTGGATGCCTGTGCACTTACGTCACTTGGTGTGAAGTTTCTGGTTCACAGCAGGTGATCACTACACACTCTGGTTTATGCCTGTGGAAAGAAGCCCATCCCCGTAATGGTGATGTTGAATTTGTTCTTCAACCCAGTTTGTCACAGCTACTTGTTTCCATATTTCTGAACCTTTTGATCTGTACTGGGCGGCTGCAGGGCTGCCAGCCCTGGGTGAAGCTGGGGTTTGAAGCAGGTGGCAGCCATGCTCAGAGCTGCAAGGAGCATCGCTGAAGGGGGGAGGAACACCTCATGGTGCAGCGCTGGAAGGAGGAGGAACACCGACAGGGACAGACGAATTCTTGCCCTGAGAAAACTGAGTGATTGCCAGGGAGCCTTGCAAACCAGAGATAAAGCGTGTATGTGGGCAGGCAAACTGACTCCAAGACGAACGTGAACCCTCCCTGTGACAGCTTACAAGGTAACCCTTGCCATGTTCACGTGGTTGGGGTCAGAATTTGTTTTAAGGGCTTGTTACATTTGTCTTAAGAGCTGTTACATCTGGCAACTCTTATTCTGCCACACGTCTCCCTGTTTATCTTGAAGACTAGTTTATCTGATTGTCTCAGCAATCTCTGCATCAAGATCCTCGCAGATTGTTGGCCATGGGTTTCTTTACCTGCTATGGTTTTTGAGGGAAAACTTTCTAGAAGTCAATGTTACAGGGTCTGTGCCACCTTTGGTAGCCACCAGAAAATATAATGAAAATATTTCACACTTTGGAATTGGGAAGACAGTGGATTGGCATCTGTAAGCCAAGCATGTTGTGTTTCTCTTCTCCTCGGCCTCTCTACGTTTATGGAAAGCTGCCTGTGTTTCTTAAAATGTTACACCTGTAGTTACGAGCCAGTCTTCAGTTTTCGAAACTGTGAAGAAAGTTCATTTGTGCATTTTCACTGTTGAGAGTACTTGAGTGCAGCTGATTGTCTGTTTCTAAAAAGCTTTACGTTAGCAGAAGCAGCATTTTTTCTTTTTAAGAGGGAATGTATTTTTAAAATAGACACTTTAGCAGAAACTGGAATATAATAGCACTTTTAAAAGCTAAATTGGAAGTATTTTGTGTGAGAACTACCGCTCCCAGTTTGCAGTATAAAACTTGTGTACGTTTTTTTATTATTATTTTGGCCAATGTGCATTTTCAAAGAAAACGCACCGCTTTACTAATCACACTAAAATCTAATTTGCGAAGGGAGAAAGAGTGGGCGGCAAAGGCTAATCAGGAATGATTTTTTTTTCCCCCAAGGCAT